TAGTGGGGGGGGGAAGTACTGAGGACGTATACATGTCAGTATTTTCGTCAAAGCAAGAAGTTGAAAAGCACTAAGACTGCCACTCCAGACACCATTTCTTACTGTGTTTCTCTTTGTCTACATCCTTAGTTGCTTGTATATATGGGACCTGGAGGAAAGAGCAGCTGTGGGTTATACCCATCATATGAAAAGCCCATAAAGCAAGTATTGCAGATTTACCTTCTAAGTCTACTTTGAATGTGGCCATCTTCCTATACAAACATGCTTATTAATTTCAGTTAATGGGGAAATTTAATATTCCCAACTGCTCAGAATACAGTGAATGGTTCAGTGCTCTAAAGATGATTCAATCTTTTATCAGAGTAAAACAGATTTCTAGAAGATATCCTGATTTTACTGTTTTACAAGATTATAAAAAGAATCAAGCCTCCTAAGACAGGCAGTTTCTGAAATACTTCAAGGTCATAAATAAAAAACATATTAGTACCGCAATAAAATAATGGAAGTTGTGAGAACTGTTAGCACACTCAATGTCTACACATCCTAAGAAAGCCGGCACATTTCAAAATTAAGAGCTGGGCACCGTATTAAGAGAAAGATGAGGCTCTCTGCTATTTTGGATACAACACTTCAAAGGAGTGGGGGTGAATAAATGTGGAAAAGTCGTAATTCCAGCAGTGATACCTTTTGTCTTAGCACAAAGAAGCTATAGTGCTACTACCACTGAGGTCACATTCTAGCTCTAGCATCTAGGGCTGCATGCAAACTGATCATTCTTTCATTTCAAAGAGAGAGGATCACTGGCTTAGAACAGTTGCAGCCAAGAAGCCTCACAAGATAGTGGGGGGGGGAGTTACTTCATATCTGAATATCATCTAGGAAAGTGCAACATGTCTGCACTACACAGAAGCATGAACACATAATCTACCTCCTTTTTCTATCTATGGAATTTTCTTGTTTTGGATTTCTCAACTACTGAATAGTCTTTTCTATCAACTTCTGAGACAAGTGACCTTCATATTTTAAAACCAGAACTGTTCAGGTAAAAGATACTCATTATTTAAATTTAACTGTTTATTACACTGAATATAAAATAGGCATCTCCAAAGGCCAACTTGAAGTTGAGGACACAAATCTTCCCCATGTAACTCTCATTTAGTTTGTGTTGCCATAAATATTTTTGTGACAATTAGGAACTGTTTTGGATTAAAACTATTTTTTTCCTACTTCCTATCTGTCCCACCAGACAGATCAGCTGTAAACTTGATTGTTTCCCAATTCAGGTTACAATATAACTGCATAACAATTGTGGCACACACAAGCAGAACAAAGACTGTGGGTTTTTTATGTTTGGGTTTTTTTTTCCCTTCACAATTCAACCTACAGCACAATTGGACCTAAACCTGCAGAATGACTGCACAGCATATCTAATAAAACTGCTACTATTTTCCTTTGTTCAAAAGCACAGCTCTAACAGCATTTTAAAATCTGAAGATATGAAAAGTTCAGTCCATTTTATAAGAGAGTGTGAACACTGGATATAACCTAGCTGAGATGCAACTTGTTGCTGTACAAGGGAAATACTGAAGATTACTTTATGTATAAATTCAGTTGCAAGCTCAACTTTCAAGTGTACTTTGTAAGATTATTTTTAATTTACAGTATACTCACTGAGTAAACCACAAAAACTCAAGATAGTGTGAATAAGTAAGAAGCATTGAGAAATTAAAATTAGATGGAATGTATCTAACTGCACTCTGAAAATTCAGCATATTACTTTTGTCATTTGTTTTAGACTTCAAAATTTTCTTCCCATAATCAAAATCTCTCACCTAGTGACTCCCTTTAAGGCAGTGTGGTGGGTTTTTTTAAAAAAAACTATGTCCTATTTCAGATGTCAGCATAAATTTTGAACAGAGCTTATTTATGAATGTATTTAAGCAGTCTTAGGACCTAAAAAGATCCCTGACTCAATATGATGACAAAGCATCTGTAGGTTACTTTTGTGAAGTACACATACAGAAAATAATGATGATGACCCTCAAAAAACCAGTATTATTTTTACAGTGGAATAGATCAGGAGACAACACCTGTTTTGAGAGCTCTTTCTGATAAACTCAGAAATACTGATGACCCGTGTTTCCAGCTTTGCTACAGTAAGCCTCAACTGCAGCCTATCTACTGACTGTGAAACTAAGATCATACGATCCCAGGCAATTTCCACTGACAGCAAGCAGAAGTAAACTCTTCAAGCACAGAAACTATGAACTAAGTCTTCAGATACCATGAACCTGACAGAGGGAAGGAAAAAAAACTTAAGAGATGAGAGAAAGGAAAAGGTAAGACCATAGGAGAAATGAAAGCAGGAAACCCCCAAACACCTGTCTGTGCAGGGATACAGATAAAATGAAGAATGGAAAAGAAATGCAGTTAGAAAAAGCATATCCTCTGGCTCACTGAATAATGAAGTTTGAAAGATCTGGTTTGTGTTCTGAAGACACACCTATCCCTTACACCGGATATCCAGAAATAAGAAGGGAAGAAACTTTTCAATACTAAGTATTGTAGAATTTCTTCCTTTCTTTGCCCTCCCCTTTCTTCCCCACTTAAACTCATTCACAGTGTCATCTGCATCTAGTTAAACTTGCCAAAGTGATTTCAAAACACACTCTAGACAAGAGCAGCATATTGATTAAACTGGAGCAATAACAACAACAACTCTGCATCACTTGTATTGCACTTTACATAATCTGTATTACACTTTCAGGTAAATTATACATTTTCTGGAGACACCAGCATAAGATTTCAGTTGAGTATTCTCTTCAGGTTTTAAAAAGTGCTTTTATCGTCTTGCATAAACACCCAAATGTTCATATACCAAAGAGCAGAAAAACGCAAAATTATGAATGTAGAATTAGGTGCTAAAATTGCTAATGAAGACACATACTCAAAGTCAGTCATACTAAACAACTAAGATTTTGTTGTGGCACTACATATGAACTAGGTCAAGATCAGTATTTTCATTTGCAGATAAATTAAAGTGTTTCAACACTGAAAAGCAAATTTATTAGCCAACTATGTTTTCTTCAGAAAGATTTATTTTCTGAAAAGCCAACAAGTCATGACTGAAAGAAAGCATATGCTCGATTGTGAAGAACAGAAACTGTATGAGTTAATAAAGAAATTAGTTCCTTCTTTTAAAACTCAATGTATAAGCTTCAGGTATAAAAATTTAAATTCTTAAAAAGTTGGGGTGTTTAATTGCTAAGTTTGTTGTAAGGATACAAAACCTTCAAGTAAGATGTATGTGGATTCTTAAAGCAAGATATAGCCCACTTTTATTTATCAGTTGCCAGCTAATTAAGCAGCTTCATGTCTAATCTGAACATTTACTAGGAGTGAGTAAATACCATGTATTAGTAATAAGAATAATGTTAGACAAGATGCAGAATGACAGTAACACTCTTAAGCAAGACCTAAATGAATTTTAAAATAGTTATATCAATTATCTCACAGGCAAACCTTCATTCTACCTTATTAAGTTTTAAGATCACAAGTGCTGGTTCTAATTCAGTCAGTCATTATCATAATAAGTTGTTTTTCTTTTAGGTAGTAACAAGTTAACCATTCACCTTCCTTTGGCTGAGTCATAACAGGTGTTTGCGTCTCCTTTGTATATGTAACAATTTCTCGAGGAGGAAAGTCAACTTGCGTAATTTTGGCCATTCCAAGTTTAACAGGTCCACGTCTAAATAATAGAGAAATCAGAAAAAATATTTAACTTCATGAATTAGTTCACATTTTGCCTAGAATAATACCCAAGTCATCATGCCATAGCACTGTTTAGTCAAACTTAAATCCAGTGGAACTTAAATATGAAGGAGTCACATGATTATGACTAATATTTTACTATAATTATTATTTAAGATCAACAGATATTTATATATCTACAACACAAAGAAAGACTTGCAAACATATATAAGGATTATAGGATATGACTTTAAAGTTTTGGTCTTTGTGGTTGACTAAGGCACTGCTAAATATATGACATATCCCTATTTTTAGTGGAAGAGATCTGTTCAGGAGTCAGATTTCTACAGCAATGGTTCTGGAATTTTAAAGTTTAAAAACCAGCTTTGTTATTCTGAAAGAAAAAGCATTTCCTAGTCCTTTTAACTTCGCTGCCCTTTTTTGTCTACCTCCAAGATACTATTTAGAATGCAGAACTGCAAGTCAAATCTGAAACACACTGACAAGTGATTTATCCATAATACATCATAATATGATACTGAAAACCTCTTAGCTTTCTGACTTTAGCTTATGGAAGATCTCATCAATGCAGATATAGCGAGTATCAAACTACAATGCATAATGTACTTCCAAAAACCACACAACATTAATTCAGTCATTGTAACTTCCTATAAAAGCTAATTTCAGTATGCATTGTAGCAATACTGTAATGATCCAACAACAGTTTACCTATATCAAATTTAGTTTCTTATTATCCACCCCTCTCAAAAGGTAAAGGCAAAAGAAAAAGACTGACCCCTTTTGAAAGGTTTTGGTGGGCTGAATCCTAATTCTTATAGCACAATATGGGTTTAGTAAGTGCTTATAGTGAGCTACAACTTTTGTAAACATATTTATAAGAAAAGATGGGAGCTACTCTGTTTTTAAATAGTTATTCTAAGCTTTTTATTTTAAAGAAATTACTTTTTAATGTTCACATTTTGCTAAAGAAAGATACAAAGAAAAACATGAATAAGTAAGTTTTGTTATCAGAAATAAGCATCTTATGTATATTAAATAATATAAAAATTTCCCATTGCAAGCAAATTGCATTAAATCTAGGGAGAGGGAATTTCTGTTACTTACAGAACAGTCTCTTAACAACTTGAAGTCTTAAAGAAGAAATAAGCTCTCATACTTATTATCCATAAGTACATGAAAGAGGGAATATAAGAAATCTATGCAATACCCCAGATCGGAATCAGAGTGGAGCTGAAGAACTGATGGATCAGTATCCCAATGCAGCGTCCTGATACCCCAGGTTGAACAATCATGCAGCATTAGCAAAAAAGGCCAGAGATTAGTGAAGCAAATACACACTATGAAATGCTAGAGTTACAGTAAGCTTACAGTTATTTCATTGTTCACAAGAAACTAAGCAATGTAACAACAGTTAAGGGAAATTCAGCAAACATTCAGTGCAATAATACATGCAGTAAATACAAAAGTTAAAAAGCAAACATGGAATTCAGAGCTATTAGAAAAGAATTAAATTATTTTAAAGATTGAAAGTTAAAGAACTGCAAACAAACATAGCCTTTATGAGAGGCAAAAAAAAAATATTTTAAATACTGGCAAGAACCATTTAAAACTTCAAAGTCTTTTTAAAACCCGTTCAGATTTGTTTGTGTCATATGAAGACAGATTTGTTAAGGTAATGCAGTCTTGCCCAGAGCAGTAAATATGTGGAGGAAACTGTCATACTGGTAAAGGAAATGAGTCAACACATAAGCCTTTTGGTAAAGGGGCAAAAATGCATTTCCACTGGGATAGACAACTGCTAGAGTTTCCAAGATGTGACACTGCAGTAATTATAGGTTAAGCACTGCCTTGGGCTTATAAGTGTCATCTAATTTAGAGCCAATTCCATTTAAGATATTTAAATCTCTTTGAAATAGTGGCTTTATGAGAATAACACATTTCAAAGTAATGTGGAATAATGAACAGAATAGATCCATTTCAAGTCACTTTTGTATCAGACAAAATATGAGAGGAAATAGATCTTCCCTCTCCATTTTTTCTTCATTCCTTCTCCACAAATTTTCATTTAGTCTACTGCCTGCTATCAGGCTTAGGCAGAATTTTAAAACAAGCTTATAAGAGATTAACACATGAACATGCATGGTTTTCCTGAAGTTCATAGATGCTATTCTATTTTTTATAAAATTATATTTTATAAAAAAATAATATAAAGAATATGTAATATTTTGCTATGACAAAGGTAATAAAGGGTAATTTTCTATTTCAATCCCATACATGGTAATGTTCTTATAAGCCAGGTGCAGAATTCCTGAAGTTGATCTCAAAAATGTACAGGCAATGCCAAAAACACTCATAAATATGGGTGTGTCATGCACTACCTTGTTCTTGTAGAAGGTATGATTAGAAGAATAATTACTTCTAGTTTATTTAAGAATTACAAATCCACTGTCTTTGTATTTAGCAAATCATTCTACATAACTGCTATTGCATCCACGGAATACCTATATCTCTAAAACCTTTCCATATCTTAAAATACCTAAATCTCTAAAAGCTTTCCATATCTTGTGCACCAGAAAAAATACCATTTTACCATAAATTTAATTACTTTGAGTATACTTATTCTTTAGTTGTCTGCTGTTTTTCTTGACCAAACAGATTTAAGCTTGGAGTTTAATTTTGTGCCTGAGATTTCAAGATGGATATTGTTCATATGTTGTTCAATCATGCATTAAGGAAAAAAAAAGGAAAAAAAAAAAAAGGCAAATAAAGCTAAGTCAAACCACCCCCACCCCCCGAACCTTCATATGTTGCTTCTGCAAAGGATGACTTACGTACCGATACAAATGCTGCCCTACCACAATACTTGTCAAACATTTTCTCAATTTTTTCAATCCCACTTGAGAGGATCTTGGGGAAATGGCTACAAATTTAAAAGGCTCCAACTTTTGTGCCTGCTTAAGTCCTGGCCCTTACTGCAGTTACTTTCCTGTTTTCAAAGCAATCTTTTAACTTTCAACAGTTGTTTCAGTGGTACCAGGGATAGTCTGCCTTTTAAAATAGCTCAAGTCAACAAGAAAGATTTAACTGTATATCCTATCCTTCTCAGAAATATTCTTTTAAAATAAAGGTAAATTTCCAAGATAAAATTCACCTACTATATGTGTACCAGAAGGACATAAAATACTGTTTGTTTTGCTTTCCAGATGTTTGTTATGCCTTATGTTAAATGAATTTACCTAAAGCTTCAGTGAACAAAATTCTTATTCTTCCACATGTTCCTGAACTTCTCTGTATCAAGACATATTCCTAATGCTTTCCATATCTCCAAAAAGTATTTTCTGCATTTAAAGTAAATCTATGAAACACCTACCTAACATAAAAGTAAACCATCTGTATTAAATTCCAGTCTTGAATTAATACTCTTAAGTGAGGAAAAGAAAGAAAGAGCAGTATCAAACTGGGAACCAGAACTCTTTACTGATGAAAATAAAGCAAGACACATGGAAGTAACAGCAGGAATACAGTCTGAATGCTGCTCTACTAATTAATAAGTAAAGTTACTGACAAGATTCAGCATCATAGAGGAGAAAATACTAAACTAAAAGTAGATCATCTTTGTAAAGTATAGCTGCAGCATGACCAGAGAACAAATGGCCAAAATTAAAAAAAAGAACAGAAATAATACACTAACATGAAAGGATTTTTTTTAAGATTATCAAGCACAGGTGGAACAACTCAGGCTTTCTAAGTCATCTCATATTGATATGAAAGTCACCTGTGAAATGATAGATATAATGCTAAGGGATATCACACAGTCCAACTTTTCCCGTTAACTTTCAGGTTCAAGTGTATGTGTACATTAGGAATGCTGTACAAACTTGTACTAATAGGATATAGACAACTGTTCACTGGGGGAAGGAAAAAATGTTACCCATTGGTCAGAGAATAAGCAAGGAGACTCAATTTAGCTACACTTTCATACCTCCACACCTTCAAGACCACAATCTTTCTATGCTTCCACATTTGGGAAATTGTCAAGAGACAGATTTAGGTTTAAAGTTTGCAAATGCATGAAGCTATGGAGGCTTAGGATACTAATTTTCTCAAGGCTTCATAAGAAAATGTATGCATCCAACATTATGTTACTATGTCTGAGGAACATACAGAGAACACAGTACACCTACAAGGTGGAGATAAATTCAGTACACAACATTACATGCAACTACAGATATGTGGCCTATACATATTGCTTCATACCAAATTTAATTATGTACGAATAGAAAGAAAATATTTTTTTAAAAAATTAATGATCATATGATTCTTGTTTTTTCTTCTAGACAGTGAATTTAAATATAAAATGACAATTCAGTAAATAATAATCACAGATTTCAAATAATTTAAAATTTGCTTGTTACTCGGTTAAGGAACAATTATATTAATTCTTTATTAATGTGACAGGTGAATTTCAATTGCATAGCAAATAAGCTATGTGCAAGATCACAGATGGCACTGTTAAAAAAAAAAATCTGGGTTCATAGGGTTCATATCTGCTGCCTGATGTATTCCCTGTTTTAACTTAATGGTTGCTACTTAGAAATAGGCACTTTGTAACCTTTGTTCAGGTCATTAAAATCTTGAATATTTTCAGACTAAGATTGCATAGTTATGCCTGCATAATCCACACACATAGAAGACATTACTGCAGTCTTTTAAAAAGATTATTCAAAGTGCTGTAAGTATTCACTCTTTCTCCAAAACAGCTACTCATATAGGCACAAAAGTAACTGATAACTGCTTCAGTAACTGTACTTTAACTAAACTTCATTCACAATGCATAAATATGTTACCAAAATTAATTAGGCAAATACTGCTCTTATTTGCAGATTGTACATGGAAAACAGTAGAAATACCCTATGGAAGTATCTTTTCCCATCTTAGCACGCATATATTGCCACTCTGAATTCCTAGTTTAACAGAAATATTTATACGACTCTCTTTAGAGCAGCATTTCTCAAACTGCCATGCACAAAAAAAATGGTCAAATAGATGTGGCAAGTACTGGAACTGAAAAAAAAAACCTGTGGCTGTACTAATGTGGTGCTATGTTTTGGCCAAATGAGAGTGTGAATGATATAGGTATGTTACAGCAATGGCTGCAAAGTGAATTAACAAGAAATACTGTCTGAGTTGGAGGGGGGGGGGGGGAAATCAGAAGCAAGGCAAAGTTTGTAGACAGTATCTTTTATCCGACCAACTAGAATAGAGGGAAAAAGGAAAAAGCCTATCATCCATACACAGCTTGCTTTAGAAAAAGCTGGGAAGAGCCCAGAAGTTGGACTTTGCCAGTTTTCTATTGTCCTGAGACATTAATGCTTACAAGAACATTACCACAAGACATTCAGGCTCATTTTATTTTAAACTTGCAAGTTTAAACAACTCCACATTAATGCTGGCAATTTCAAATTAGAAAGTGTAGTTTCATTTCAAATTTTAAAATAAAGTACTTCTCTAAAACAGCCACTGTTCACAGATTCAATAACACCATAACCTCATATTACACTACAATCAAGCAATTAACCTTGATTTCTTCTAAAGCTTAATTGTTCAGAATATAAGTATTAAGTGAAGGAATATGACAAGGAAAGCTTCATACCTAGATCCAACAGCGCCATCACCAGAGTCCTGGCTTCCAGCCTCACTTGGCGTACTCACAGATTTGGAAGACGGGGAGGTAGGAGGAGGGACTAAATAGTGAAACAGACAGGTATCCGCTGTTACTACTCGCAGAGGTTGCACAGCTTAGGATGTTTTCAAATTAATTTAACATGAAGTATTAAAAAAAAAAGTCATGGCAAACAAAAAATACATGGATGAAAATGAACAGTAAAAAGAGAGGGGAAAAGACAATGTTAACAATTCATGCTGGACTTTCATGCAGTTGTTTGGCATTTATGCATCTGGAGCATACAAAAAAAAGACATGGAGGGAAAGACATTTAAGAGAAAATGAATTGAAAATATATTTTAAAACTGAACTTCTGACAAATGATGGCATTAATTTTGAAAGGGTGATTTCCACTAAATCATGTTGCTTAAACAAAAGGAAGATAGTTGTTAATACAGCTTTGACATCAGTTTTTCTTAAAAGTACCAGTTAAATACATTCAGTGTCTAATTTTTGTTTCAAAATAGATAATCACCGAAGTGTGGACAAAAAAAAGTGGCTTTGTTATACAGCATGCTGTTATTTTTGTTCTAGTTTGAATCAAATCAACAAAAATCCTATGTATTACAGCGAAGTTGCTAGTATTGGGTTTTGGGGGATTTTTGCCTTCTTTTTACTAGACAAACAGTCTAGTACTGTTATACTGAAACTTCTTAAAAGTCAGTTCATTTTCAGCATGAAGATTGCAATTGCCATTTAAAAAGCAACATGTTTTTTGGAACTGATACATAATAGTGAATCATGCAATCTGACAAACACAAAGCTATTTCAGTATTTCTTTCAACTTTTCTTTTTAGAAACAGTGAAACTCATTTTTTTAATGAAACTTCAGTTTACGCTTAAGAATCAAGGTGTGTGTTGAAGGTCCTTATATGTTTCATTTTTCAGCAATATGCAAAACATTCATAGAACATATTCACTCAACATCCTTAAAAAGAACCTTTAACCAGCTGAACACAAGTTATGAAAATAAATTTGTATCTACTCTGTTTGGGGTCAGGCAAGAGAGAATTCTGAATTTAGATCTGCAACAAACACTTCTAGAGAATTTCTTGAAATCACAAGTATATTGTGAATTCTGAAGAATGTCCATCCCATCCCAAAACAGAGATGTGACCATGGTTGACAAAAATGCTACCCTAAATTTACAAAAATCACAGTGAATACTTTATTAAAAATTCATTCTTCCTACAGGAGACTTTTATATAGATCTAGAGTTATACTCCATAAATTCATAAATACGCACACACTTTATACATATATCTATAGAAATATGGATGTATGTGCACATATAAAAGTGTGTATATATTCTTCAACTCATGATCATCATCTACTGAATAACTTATCCTAAAGTAAATGCCTGTAAGCCTTTATATTGCTACATTATTTTTGTGCATTATCAGAAACAATGACATTTTAATGTCAGCCTGGAAGGGTTGGAATGGAAGGGGTGATATTAGAAAGTATCTTGTTCCCATTTACAAAAGCCAGTCAGGTAGGCATGGCCAGAAGCATCCAGTGACAGCTTTGATGCTGCAGTGCCCTCATGTGGGACAAACTGCTATTTAAACACCAGCAGTCTTGTGAAAAGACCAAGCAAAATTCCACCTACCCCAACAGAGGATGAAACTATAATACCTTCCTGAAAGATATTTTGGTTCACTAACTTATGACTCTTATACAATGAGTATGGTAGAGATCAAAAGCATACTTACATTGTTAGGGTCCCTTCTCCCACAAGAGAGCTACCTCTCTCTGGCAGTTAACAGGACAGTAATTGCCTTAGGAATTTTTAATACAATTTTCTATGAAGGTGTCTAATCTCAAGCTATCCACCTACAGCAACAATGCAAGCTCGAGCTATCTGCACACAAAGCTGGCCAGCTGTAAATTACCTTCAGTTCAGGCACACAATCATTGTACTATCGTACTTTGCCATTATCCAGACAGCAGACCAAGCCTGTGCCTCAGGCATGGTACTTCAAGGTAGTGAATAGGATATTTTAGCTTGATCCAGATCAGATCCAGGTATCTTGAAAGGGAACAGAATGAGTTCCCTGTGCATCTGTGTGTTGAAGGTTGTGGTTAAGCAGATGCTCAGTGGAATTAAACACAACACTTACAGAGGTGTACCCCTCTCTTACGCACTAGCAGCTTAAAGGCCTTTTCACAAACTGCTCGTCTAAGTCTATGCAATGATTTGCTTTGGGAATGACTATCCAGTCATCTTTAGATTCTCTCACAGATTCAAACAACCACCACCACAAGAATTTCTGCAAGAGTCTCATCAGTTGCCTTAGCAAAACCTCACACAAGAAAGTGTTCAGTATTTGTCTGCCAAACAAAATCTATAGTAGGTAAGAACCGATTACATAAAATGCTGTACACTAGTGCTAATGTAGCCCAAATGCAGTCTTCAAACTCTGGGAGCAGTTCAAACTACTAAAAATGACTGCAGTAGCCATCGGAATGGGTGTAGCTATAATGGTGTTTATTTATTTCATGTTCACTTTTGAACACTGGAGGACTATGCAAAAACTATTATGGCTCTATAGTCACAGATATACTATATGCATAACAAATCATTATTAATTTGCAAATACGGTTGAAATAGACCCTCACCACTGAGCCAAACTGAACACTAAGTTTTAAACCCCTTAGACTTCAGAGCTAGAGACAAAAAGTGGAGTTGAATTATCACCCTCCTTACTTTCGTCTTCCAGAGAGATATGGCTATGTAAAGGCAAAAAGCAACAACCAATATTCTAACCCATCCAGGAGTGGCACAGATACTAATTATCATCTCTGATAGTTAAATGTTATAGTTAGCCTTGCTAGTCAGTCAGATATTTGAGATTAGGAAAATTAGGGGGTAAAGATGCAGAAAGGAAACAAGCTAATTTTGCACAAAAATATAAAAATTAAAATTTAGCATTATGAAAAAAAGGAAAAAATACAGAATAATAATGTGCAAGAAAAATAGAAAAAAAAAGCAAACCCAACACAAAAAAACCCCAAATGCATATATATATTTTTAACTAAAATACTCCAAATAATCCACAACGTGTAAAATCTATGTTTTACAAAAGAGTACTAGCAATGTGTACTGAAGCACGTCGCTTGACATTTGTAACAGAGATCATACAGGACAAAAATATTATAAAACCCAGACATGTACAGCCCAAAAAAATAGCAGCCAGAGTATTTTCATGCTAGTTATATGAATACCACAATCCTAACAAAAAGTAACACCCTATCCCTCCCCAAAACCAAAACCAAACCACCTCCCCCACATTTATCTCAAATGAATGTTAACATTCCTACCAACAGGAGACTCAGGTGTCAACCCCATGCTCTGAAGTAACGCTTCAGCTTCTCTCCTCTTCTTCTCAAGATCAGATTCTTCTTGTACAGGAAGAACTTCTTTCTTCTGATCAGTCTAAATATAATTCCATAATTAAGTTACAGCATTAAACAGGTACTGGAAACTTCAATTTACTTTTTGAGATCTCCTAAATTCTTTTATGCTACTGAAACCTATCATCATATAGGTTAGATATTTGACTCTAGTAATTCTGATGGTCTTTTCTGTAGATAAAATAAACAGCAGACAATAATCAAAATCTTGTAGCTTTGGTACAGTCTTTAAAAGACATATATAACATGCAAAAAGTGTCTTCTCACTTGTCAAAATGACAGGCACTTCATAAGATCACGAATACTTTTTTCACAACAATGCTAAGCACTGTAAAATACAAATACTGAAAAAAAAAAAGTATCATGTACCTGTGTACAAAAGTATTTTAAAGACATAGTCGTCTCATTCTGATTTTGAAATTACAATAAATTTGTCAAAGAAAACCCTATACAGTTAGAATGACTGGAAGACACACCCCTCTTGGGTCAAGAAAGTATTAGGACACTTAGCTAGATAGAGCACATGATAAACTGCGTAGCAATTAAGAAAATATGTGTAAGATGTAAAGTGATGATTGTCTGTATGTGCATTTTAAGCTTTTTTTTTTAAAAACAAAAAGATCAAAAAGCTGTTCAGTGAGAAAGCTTTCTTTTGGACCTCAGGTTTCACAAAAAAAATAGGAAGTCTTAAAAAAACCTTTGCAGTAACTTCAAGTTTATGGATCATTTAAGTAGCATTAAGTTGTGTTATTATCTGCTAGATTTCACATACACACAAAAGAACAAAAATTACAGGGCAGCTGCCCAGTCTTCAGTCATATGGTAATTTAGAACACCTACAAGATCATAACCAAAACACAGCGAAGTCTTGAAAAAGTACCCCAAAACATTCCATCAAAAGTTTAATTTATGAGGTATAATCTACCTTCAGAAGAAACATAGGAATAAATCACTGACACATACTTTAGCAAAGAGAAATCCAGAAGACTGTTAACAAAGTCTAACATAGAAGTAGCACATACATCCTGAGCATTGCTCTGATTTTAAAATTCAGGCTAAAGATGAGTCAAAGAGCAGAAGAATGTAGCACATTATTTATACAATAATAATACTGACAGTTGGACAATTCATATGGACATCCTCTGAACTGCACTTCAGAAATGAGTTCTCTAAATAACACCATGACAACTCACAAAGCAGAGCTTTTGTGCAATACTTCAGTGATGTGATTAATGATGTCCCATGCACACAAGCAGTTTTAGAAATCCAAGCTTTATACAAGTGTAGGACTTAAAAATGTAAAATCAAAATCTAATTTACCACAGGGATAATCTAAAAAACCCCAGAAGATGTTTGCTCTTACCAGAAAACAGAACTGCTACTTTTGCATCAGCAACCAATCATGAAATAGACGCACCTTGAATAACATGTAGCAAATGTCTAAGTGAACCTACCTTAAATTTTGGACAAGTTACATATGCAAAGTCAAATTTCATAGAAAAAAATATTTCTTACTTCTTTTTTCTTTCTTTCTTCCTCCTTTCTCTTCTTCTCCTCTCTGATTTGAGCTAATCGTTGCTTCTTGCGCTCCAACTCTGCCTTCAGTTCACTTTTGTCAGACATGGCTGTAACACTGATCAACAGAAATCATACCACTGTTTGGTTTGGGTTTTCTGTTTTTAAGATAGCAGCTTTCTTTTAAATAAGCTATCATTAAAGGAACTACATTAACTTACCAAAACCAGAACTGTGAAAAGTCTTAACATGATAATTAAAAAAAAAAAATAAAAAAATCACATTCTTAGTGCCACATTTCTTTCATTTAACACATTCTCAACACTGAAGTGATTGATTTAAAACAGACAGCACCCATTCATAAAGTAGTCTCATGCTGTTTGAAGGAAATGCTTTGAAAGCAACATTAAGCATTGAAGATGGGGCTATTTGACCTCGCCATAGGATTCCGCACAGCTACAGAGCCAACCATGAGATAGGGAACAGCAAGGAGGGTACCAACACAAGATCTATCATTTAGAGTTAAATAGTTCAAATATTTGCATGCTATAACTCAGCGGTATATAAGATATCCTTCTACATACAGTTGTAGGATTCAAATTACAGATTTATTAAAATATTTAATAGGACTACTCTAAACTGCAAGGCAAAGTAAATACAACTGTGATGGTCAAAAAACCTTGTAAAATACACGCATTATCATTTTTTTCCCAAACATTTTGTACACTGCTAAGAAATTGGTGGATCTTTTAAAGAAAAAAAGTTTTGCTACATAACTAAATACAGACAAGAATGTCTACAATAAATAAAAGTTGAAAACAAAATCCACTTCAGAACAGAGATTTAGAACACAGGTATGAAAAAACTGTGAATGGGCTGAGTGAATAAAGGCTCAATTTCACTGTTTTTAAGCAAATCCAAGTCGCTAAAAAAGTGCAGAAGCAGTTCTACAACTGGTGAGGGATCTATAAATGCTTTCACACTGTTTGATAACAAATATATTGGATTAAGCATCAAGTAATATGACTATTCAGTAATTCAAAATTAACACCTGCAAGTGTTTGCATAGCACATCTAAGCACACAAAAGGATTCACAGTGATACAATCCTCATGTATCTACCCCAATATACTCAGTAGTACGCATATTGGGGTAAATGTATGTATTCCTCCATGTTGCCTGAAAGTATTTAAGTGCTGATACATAAATGAAAAAAATCTACTGTCGGCATTTTTAAATGGCATTCCCGTGTCGCTTTAAAATATATTAGGAAGAAGGCGCTTTGTCACCACACCACGACTTCCCGCCCCCACCCGACTTTCCCATGCCGAGCCAGGAGAGCAAAGCGGCGCAAACCGAGCCAGCCCGAGGAGCGGAGCGCCCACCCCGCCCCACCTCGGGATGACAGCGCTACGAGCCGCCTGCCGCCAGGTCCCGCCCAGACCCCACACGGGTCGTGCCGGGGAGGGAGCCTGGCAGCACCCCCGCCCTGACAGAGCCCTACCACACCCTGAGGCCCAGGAGAAGGCAGCACTGCCAAACCCCCCCAGCCCCACCCTGCTGCCGCGCCCCTCACTCGACCTGTCTCTTAT